TGATGTTTTCTTGCAATAAATCCTAGTATAGTTTAAGGAGTTACTGCTTATTACACATTAATTAATTTTAGGATATTAAAGATTTTTAATTGTTTTTATTTACAGAATAAAGGTGTTACTAAACGAAATAATAAGAAAGCATTGTCTTATATTGAACTGAAAACTATTTCATTGTCTGGAAAAATTATGACTGATAATTCTCTTCAAGCAGAAATCCTGCTTATTGATTTTATTTTAGATGATACTAGATTTACAAGGAAGACAGGAGTTAAGAGGTAATATAAAATTATTTACTTATCTTGAAAAAATTAGGCTTTATTAAATTAAGCTATACAGTAATACCCCGACTTACGCTACCCCGATTTACACTATCCCGACTTACGCTACCCGGAGTTACGCAATTTTCAAATCTCGTCGATTCATCTTTTGTTTGAGTTCCACACAACTCTTGATTACTTACTCCCCCCACACTATTGTTTGGCTTACATGTTCGGACATGTCACACGGAATCGACACATAGCTACAATTTATTTTGTGTTATTTATTTCTGTGTTTGTTATATCTATGGAGACTTGAGAGACTCTACTATGTCATCTAAACGAAATAGAACTGATTCTTCTGCATCAAACAAGAAAAGAAAAACTTTATCTTTGGAATGTAAAGTTAACATTGTTAAAGACTTTGATACAAAAATGAAAATTTGTGAATTGGCAAAGAAGTTTGATCTACCGGAATTGACAATCAGAACAATTATAAAAGACAAAGAAAAAATTCTTAAAGCTGTAGAAAATGCTCAATCTTTAAATTCAAGCATCATTCATAAACGTCATGGTATTATCGATGAGATGGAAACTGTTAAAGGTGTGATAATCAAGTAAATGTGAAAAATTGTATAATAACATAATTTGTTATACATATGTATTATTTAAGATTCTATTAAACATTTTTTTCTAAATTATTGTTTTCTTTAGTCTCCAGCCCCAATTAAAAATTATTTGTATGTATTTATATGCGAAATTATACCCCGACTTATGTGGTTATCGCTTGGTCCTACCTATTGCATAAGTTTGGGGTATTACTGTACATTCTATCTAAAAGTTTCAAATCTTTAAGTAATTGATGTCAATTATTATATTTAACTTACTACTTAACACCAAAGACACTCCAAAAAGCTTTAATAATTGCATTAACCAATTTAATTACTCGTGTTTTGTTGGCTGTATTTTAACAATTTTCTTAGGAGAAAATTACAGAGTACAGGTATACCTCGCCTTACGTCAGTAATTGGTTCCTGGAGAACGATGTAAGTCGAATTTACTTGTCTCCGAATCTACTTGTCACTAGGCTAAACCATAAATTACCATTCCCGGTTCTGTATTTTATTTATTAATGCATTTTTAATAATATATGGTTAATAAAAATCTATTTTAAGCTTACAAACAAATTTTAGTTTTTAATATAGTACAGAAAAAAGTAATCTAAATTTACGAATGCATGTACTGTAAATACAGAACATACTCGTATATATTTTAATATGATTTTATGTGCTTTAAACGTTTTTATAGTGATATTACGACTTCAATTTTTGTGGTGGACAGACGTAAAGTCGAATAAAATGACTTAAACTTGATATTTATTTTTCCATATACTTTTTTGACAAACGACATATAATCGGGAACGACGTAACTCGAAACGACGTAAGTCGAGGTATGCCTGTATGACCAAAAATGTGAGAAATTAAAGTGTTAATGCAATTATTAAGGTTTTTAGAATATCTTTAGTATTCAACATTGCATTTTTCGTTAGTTATTGCTTAACATTTGAAAGAAGTTTTTTTGAATATATAAGTATTCTCTGTAAATTGTTGATTTATATATAAAATAAATTTACATTTACTTGCATATATTTTATTTCATATTGTACTCAATGTAAGCAAATTAATAGAAATTCAGTTCAACATTAAATTTAAAAATATTTCATGTACATCTTGAAATGACATCTAACATTTATCTCCAGTACCAAATTATTTGCTATTATTAATAGTGATGAAATACTAAATTAATAGCTCGATTGATCATTTGGTTGAAATGGACATTTTGGCAAGATATAATAATAGTTTTGTTGCTGTGTACATATTGTTTACTATAAGTCTTTGAGTCTTATATAATTTTTTCTGTTTCAAATTTTCCTGTAGTAGCAGTGTGTATATTTATTGAAACACACAGATGCCATTTACATACATTTTTTTTAGAGTGCTATTAGAAGAAGACTAATTGCAAGTCAAATTCATGACATTGTCCTCATGGATTTCAATAATACTGTTTGTTTGGTTAAGCCTTGATATGAACCTTTATTGAGCAAAGGGAAAGTATGAATAAAGTTTAAATCATGTCCTCTGATTTCTGGTCTGTCAAAAAGAACACCTTACAACTCCTTGAACACAAATTAAGTTTATTTAACATTATTTACAGAGATACACAGTGATCATTCTTGATTGCTACTAACTACACTGTCTTAGTCCAGGCTTGTTTCTCCTCACAGTCTTAGGCTAGCCTACCCATTCCAATGGTTGCCTTGTCTTATATCTAAGTTCTAGATCCATTGGCTGACCAATCCAGGGCTGAGCTTTCTATCAGGTCTTCCTCAGTTGGCTTATCTGTCTCTCCTTGTCCAGAATGACTTGCCAATTGTTCCTTTCCAAAAAATGTGCTGTGACATGTGAAAACTTGACCTATCTTGTCACTACACAAAACTTCCTTGACAGTGTGCTTTTCAAATGTTTTCAAAAAATCAAAGTTAGAAAGTTTTGAGTGACTTACTCATAAGTTTTGTGGAATCTTTCATTAAACCATATTGTTTGGTAACAGAGCACACACACTGTTGTCACTGATTAACATTTTAATGAGTGAATGTTTTTCAAATTAATGCAATTTTGACATAAAATAATTGTAAATTATGCTGGTTTATATGTATAGTCTATTTGACTTGACCAGTTTGAGTTGAATCCACAACTCCTGCTTACCATACAGGAGTTGTGGATTGCTGCCAATATTCTAGCCATATCTACATCTGATTTCATCTTCCAGATATATACATGTACTTAGAATCAATTTTATAGTTATGTAGATTAAATATATTAATTTTTATAAAAGCATTTTTATTCTTTTTGAACACAGAATTATATAGCACTATAAAGTAGAAATTTTTACATTTACATTCTAAAAAATTAGATTTGAAGACAGATTGGTTACTCTTTGAATTAAACATATGATATTTAAAATTTTATCTATTTTTTATTTTATTCATATTGTAGTATATAAAAGATATTTTCACATGAAAATGATTAAATAATGTTTATTGAGAAAAGTAGAAAAAATGATTAATTCTTAGGTAAATTCAGAACTTTTTGCATAGCTCAGACATGTCAATTAAATAACTGAGTCTTAAGGAGAGAAATGCAAAAATTAAATTTGACATAATTAATGGAGATATAGGTTTAATAATTGAAATATTACAAACAGGATATATTTGAGTATAGATTTTTGTAATGAATGTTTTTTGTATAATGAAGCATTTTAACTTAAGTCTCAAAAATGATAAATACACACAAATTGCTACATTTATGTAAGAAATTACGAATTTACAAAAATAAAATATAGAAAAACACTTAAACAGCTGAATTCAAATTAGTCTAATTTTCAATCCATGTGATTGATAACTGTTTATTACCAATCACATGAATACAGATTAAATTATTTTATTTCTATTTAATAATAATTTAAATTATTTTTTCTATTTGGTGTGATATTAGAATTGGTATAGATGTTTCATTTTATCTCTATTTATACTCAGATGTTTAAAAATAATGATTTGTTTTAGAATATAGAATTTGGGTTTTGTATAGAAGTTGAACTATTAACAATTTTGCAAATGCAAATGTTCAGTTTTATTAATATATAAGTAAGTCCTTACTGAATATCAGTTACATATTTTACTTACTTTAACTGTTGTTGTATTAATAAACTTGTTACATATTTTCTAAAATACAGTGGTACCTCAGATACAAATGCCCCAGCATATGAAATGCGTTTTGTAGTTGTAAATGTATAAATAACCATAATAGAATAATAATTGATTAAAAAAAAATGTAGTTTTATTTGCACTTTACCTTTGAGGATAGACGATGGTGGAGGTGTAAACTAGTGGCAGAGGAGAGGGAGAAGGGAAATGATACTAAAACTTAACTTACATAACATAATGTAACAATAAGTTAAAAATAACTTAACACTAATTTTTTNCATAATTATCAGAGTACCTCTTAGAAATTTTTAAAATTCAAATAGATACAAAAAATACAGAAAATTTTAAAAACATTTTAAAATATTTAGTTTTGATTATTTTAAAATTCATTCTTGCAAATTAATTTTTGTATCTTTTATCATTACTTAAACTATGTCATTTATGGGACATAATGTATAACTAATAATAAATATCTATTAGGCAAATTCAAGAAGTAAGGTTAGTAGCACTGCAAAAGAAAAAATAACTATATACAAGATTGGACTAATGATATTGAAAGAGTATACAGTATAATGCCCCTATGCCAACCCTATGTCTATAGTTGTCCCAGCTAGGTGGCATTTGCATTCATTGTATGATTTACAAAATGATGATGCCAACATCAGACTGTAACAAACCATATGACACAAAAGGCAGGGCTACACAATTTAGGGTTGAAATCAAGTACCAGGCCTGGACTTAATGGTAAGCAAAATATAATGATCCAAAATAATACAGTCGACCCCCCCTATAAGATCATAGATACGTTCCATTTTTTAGGAATCCGATTTATTACGAGTCCTTCCAATCACAGCCGACACGTGTGAAGTTTACGGACTACAGCTGATTGAAAGGTTTTCTTCCATAAAATTAATCGATTCTAGACTAATCCGACTCAACATTTCCAAAATACGTATATTTATTTTGGAAATAATCTGTATAAACTACGCTANTTTTCTGTTTTATATATATATTTTTAATTTTTTATTCACTGCTTTTTGCTTTCTTTCCTTCACTTCCACCAGTACTTTCACTGGATAGAGGTCACTTGCTAAAATATCTATCCATAGAGGCTTTGCCTACTTTTTAAAATGTTTCTAAAATAACTTAGGCAAATGTCATTACTCCGAGCAGCAATACAGCCAGTGTGAACCTTTTCGGGATGTTTCTTTTCAATAAAATCAGTCACTTTCTGATAATAGCTCAAGATTTCATTTATTAAGAGAGATCCTTCCATGACGAAGCAAACACACTGACTGAGACCAATGAACAGAAGTGAATAAAAAATGGTGCTGCGAACTAATGTAACATTGTATAGTGAGTTTTTGTTCATATCGTGGAGCAAAAATATGTTCGAATTTCATATCGTATCCTGAAAATTTTGTATGCTGGGGCATTAAATTGTATGCTGAGGTACCACTGTATATCCACTCTAATATCATTAATTATATATTTGTAACTTGAACAGTTTATATTTCTTTTATTTAAAAAATTCTATTGAACACGTATTTTAAAATTAACTAGGTTAATGCAACAAAATAGTGAACAAGATAAAAAAAGTCAAAAAATGGTTACAGTAAATTTTATTAAAGATGCAGCTGGTGATGCAACAAGTAAGTTTAAGTTTTTTGAGAAAGAAGTTTGATCTTTATCTTTAATAATAATTAAAGATTTTAATTATTTTTAGTTTTTAATTAGATAAAAAATACAGCAGAACCTGGTTAACTCAAATCAGTGAAAGAAAAAAAAAATTGAAATTTAGAGTTAACCAGTTTGATTTGACGTTATGCTAGATGAATGGGGAAAGAAAATGCATTAGAGTAAACATGACTTTCAAGTTATCCAGGTTTGAGTTAACCGGGTTATAATTAAGTTGATAGAACAAAATATTGTTTTCTGTTATTCACAATAAATATTGGCAATTAAAATTTGTTGTTAAATTTAGTTCTAAGTTAAATTTAGCTTTTGAGTATATTGTATATTAAATAAGTTAGGATTTTTTACCCCCTCCTATGTATACTAAGATTTATGCATGCAGTTTTACTAAAGTATTACAAAATAGATATGCTAATTTTTTGGATTTAGTTGTAACATGATTTTTCTAAGTTATCTGATGTGCAAGTTTTAGATAATTTTCTTTTTCAGCAGATCACTAATAGTAACAACTTAAATAATCTAGAGTAGATTCTTACTTTAATTATAAAAATATTAATTGTAATTTTTCTAAAATTTTATTGCCCTTGATAACTGAATGAATTTTTTAATTAATTTAATTATAATAATAATAATTAAGCTATCTTCATTCTCTGCTTCATTGAAAATAGGTTGGATTTCATTATTTTAGTCATCCAGTTTATCATACTATGTTGTAAAAGAAACAAAACTGAATTAATTCTAGTTTAAATAAAGGCAATTACCTTTATCCAACGAATTATTAGTTTCATAAAACGGTTTTTTTTTTAATTGTTTAACAAGGTTGCATTGTAATCTTTACACTAAATTAGAATGGTTACTAAATTAGGTTACGTTATAACCTTTAACAATATTTAATATACACTCATTAAAAGGAAAATTATGACATTGTGAAGGAATGTGCATAGCCACAAAATGCACATTGCAGGACTGGTAAAGGTGACAAAGATATGCAACAGACACCTGTTTATTCAATAATGAATATATCCTTCGTATACGGCTATACAGGCTGCTACATGACAAGACATATTATTAAAGAGGTAATTAATGATAAACAAACATCATCACTAAACCCGACGTATTTTAAAGCTATACCCCAACCAATTCCAAATATTATTGGGCTAGAAACGGCTATAATATTAATAATTTATAAGACAATTTGGCACTAGAGTTAGGCACCATTTCTTGATAAATTTAATATTTAATTAAATTTGGTTGGTTTATAGTTTTAAAATATGTCGGGTTTAGTGCTGATGTTTTTTTATTTATATAACACCTTGCCGGGGTTTGCGATGGCCAGTTGAGTACCTTAGGAGATATTTACAGGATGTGGGTGCTGGATGCATCCAGCATGTTATGGATGGATGCATCTGGATGCATGGCAAGCAGGAGTTGCAGGTTGTGGGCCCACTCCAATTCTTTTCTTCCAATAGTTCTAAATTATTTAAATTATTTAATTGAAAATTATAATTATTAAATTTATCAAGAGATGTGATTGTCTTCTACAGTATGTGGTAGTGGTCCCTGGTAAACCTCACGTAGGATAAGGTCCCATAGGTGTTTAATGGGAAAGAGATCTGGAAATTCTATTCAGGCTTTTGAGAGTTCACCATGAGATATGTGGTTAGGTATTATCTTGCTGAAACACCATGTTGGATGCAGCCTGCACCAGTGGCCAAACCACAGGCACAATTCTTATGACATACTGGTCCACTGTCAGAGTACTGGAAATGTGCACTAGGGCTGTCTGTTGAATGAACATGATGCCGGTGTGGGGGGATACTCAGTGAAAAGGGCTGGCATGCCATGCAGGTGCATTGCCAGTTACGCTACTTAGACCTCCAGTTCAATCTCCTTTTCCAGTATATATAACATTACATTATATGTATTGGGTTTAATGTTGTTGTTTGTTTATAAGGGCTGGCATGTATTGTTCCTTGAGATACTGCCACACCCATTTATGGCTGACATTCTTCCACAGACAGGAGCAGGATTCATCTGTAAATAATACCCGATGTCATTCAATGATAGTGATGCTGTTGTGATGACAAAGACATCTTGCCAGGTGTGCAGCCCTGTGTTGAGCAGTTAATGGCATTCTGGTTGTGGTTGCTGTGCATGCAGCCTTACTTTATGCAACCTGTTACAAATGATTTGGATGGACACAGATGGTATCCATTTGTGACAAGCAGCTTTGGATGTCATGTGCTGTGGCAAATAGGTCTGAACAGATCGTTTGATGAATCTGCCAGTCTGTGCTCTGTCGTGCACCAGTGTGATCCACTTTCTCTTTTTAGCATGTTTACAGATGTTCCTGCATCCATCGTGTCACACCTTGCTGGGTGGTAATTACATTTGTAAGGAACCAAAGTCAGAGCGTTATTTTTATTTACTTTTATTTTGCTTATTATTCTATTTTTTGTTTGGGGCTTATGTTTTGTTAGGACAAAGGTTTCCTCACCATTCACCTTAGTAACTTAAAAATAGAAGAAAAACCAACTCACCGATGAAAGAAAAGCGCCGTAGAAAAACTCGTGCACACTTGCGCTTCCCGAGCGGAAAAAAAGTAAGTCCGCACCGAGAAAAGGGGGGAGACCCCACAAGCACGAATTAGGGACTCGCTAAACCTTAAAGAATCCCGAAAATTGTGAAAAAGAATAATGTAAAAGGTTAACGAGTAATTGTCGTAAATAGGCTGCCAGAGAAACGAAAAAGTTATTGTTAGCGTTAAGTATGTAAATGAGGAGAGTGATCTCATTCAGAATTGTGACGTCACCTCACACTATAAATTCCGAGTCTCAAGTGAAGATGAACGAGGTGAATTTCTGATAGCGACGAGCTTTGGTGAGCTTAGTAGCAGTGAACGAGAGAGGTGTCCGATAGGATCAAATAGTTCCAAGGCGATTTTGAAGTTATTCGATTTATGGATCGACGATTATAGAAAGTCTTGAGAGTTTGAGGAAATAGGTTCCTAGTATATTGAGGTGACGATTAGGATCTTTAATTTATAAGAAATATTGTTTATAAGTTAAGTCTTTGATTTTGTCGAATTTTAAAGGGGAATAGAATTAAGTTAGAAATAGATTGATTTGAGTTTGTCGGGTTGATTCTTGTTGAATTTCATTGAATAAATTATTGTTTGATTTTTACTAAATACTGTATATAGTTTATTACTAGAAGTTAAATTAAATATTTGATTTTTGTTATTGAGAAACTTTGTCCTTATTTAATTCGGTGCACGCTTAAAGTCCAGGCCTGGCACACTAATGCGAATCCGTGTAAAGTACCCATTAGGGAACGGCTATTTCCGGCACACAGTAGTGTCGATAATTGTTGGAAAAGTCGGAAAAATAATATAGTACTTTACACATTGTGCCCAACACATGGCAATTGCACACATCAACAAACTGAGGTTGTTAACTGGTGGTATTTTTGTCATCTCCAAGGCATCTTTTATGCTTTTTCAAAAGTTGGGCTGCTGTGAACCATTGTTGATAGCATTTATGGCCCAAGTCAGCTGCTCGTCTGTTGAGCCCAAAACTAGGTACCACATGACCTAATGCGTACACAAACTTAATCATTGCATCTCTATCACTTCTACTGGTTCTGCAATTTACAGATGGATATGTGCGTTCCTTCATGGTGTTGCAATTACACTTTTGAGAAGAATAATAAAGTTGAATGTCAACAATAAAAAATATATAATTTTGTTTATTATATTCCATATTGTTAAATGTTAGAATGCAACTTCATAAATTGTTAAACGAATCAAAAATGTTCATTTTATGAAATGTTTTTATTTGTTATCTTATTGTTAACTAATCCTTCCTCTAGCACTAATTCTAACATATCTTTACTAATAGGATGAAAAAATCTTATTATTAAACTAATACATGCTCTAATAAATGACAAGATGATGATAAAAGAATAGATGCAGTGTATAGAAGTATAACTCTAGAACTAAACAATACATTTTTGTAATAAACACAAACTCATCTTTTATTATAGCATGACTTTACTGTTTAAGCATGTTCTCTTTCAGTTTTTTTTTATCTATCTCTATTAAATCTAAAGTAACCATCTCTGAATCTAATTTTTAATATGAAGTCTTCTCATTCTTTCTAAGTATTCTCATTTCAGCTATCTGCATCTTCCTAATTTGTCTTTTGTAATCTTCAGCATTTTAATCTATATATTTTAGCTATTTTATTATGTTATAAAATGTTTCTTTTTAAGATAATTATAACTCTTTTTGTATGAAAACTGCTAGCTTAAAAAGGGATGAATTTAAAATTGACTGTTGTTCTTGTCTCAGTCACTGCAGTCAATTTTAAATCAATGCCATTTTGTATCAGTACTATGATTTATTGCAGGGAACAGTCAGAGAAAAATTGTGATATCTGTGGGTGATGATTATTGATTAGTGAGAATAGAGGAAATTAGGATTAAAAAGGCTTTAGAATTGGATTTAAAGAGTAAATATTTAAAAAATAAGAGGAACCAAATTGAGTTTAAGGAAGTTAGATGTGGTCTATTAAAAAAAAAGGAAGTTAAATTTTAAGATAAAACAAGTAAAATGGCAAGGCCATTTTTGGGACAAGACTATGTCTTGGAGACTTAGGGCTTGACTGTGCATCATATCCTAAGGAAAAGAGAAAAATGAGCACTCTCCAATGAGGAAAAGCTGACACTGATACTCGGGGTCCTGACATAGATTACAGGTGGGCTTCATTGCCGCTATGGTTACAATGGGTTGTGTTGCCCATTCTTGTCTACTATGGTAAGTGGGATCACTTCAATGCTCATGGTAGGTCTCATTCTCATTCTCCAATCTTCTTTGGTATCACTGGTTTTGAGCACAATCATTCAATCTTTGCTGGCCATGACCATGAGGTCGTCTACGAGACATTTTCGGTGAAATTAATGGTCAAAGAGATCCAAATGAGGTGTCGGCAACACACAAGAAAATCAAAACGATGAGAACAAGTGAATACATGCTTAACATGTGTCACACATTTGTCAAAATTTGATTTTGCAACATTTGCATTTCGAACTTCCCAATGAGCAATGCATGCACTAGTGCCTGTTTGTAGAAACAGTATCGCCATTTCGTATTTTATTTTGACTCTGTTCTTGGTTTCCTGACTACCTACAAGTCTGGTTTTTTTTATGTGCACATGATTTGGGCACCAAATACTCTGTGTCAAATTGCTCCTGACATGTACTCCTTCATACCTCCTAAGATTTCTAGCCATTGACAGCAGTGCAATTTTATAGATGAGACATAGTCTTGGCAATAATTAGAAAACATACTAAATATTTTAATATATCATCATGTTTTTATGCAAATAAAAAAAATTAGATATAAATGTGAAAAGTGAAATTAAATATATCATAGAATAAGCAAACAGTTTTCATACAAAAACAGTTGTAATTGTGTTAAAAAGGGAAATTTTAACCTACGAAGGCCATTCTAAAACTAAAGAACGTTTGTTTTACTAGATATTTTTTATTTAAGATAATGAAACAAAACTTATTTTACAACACATAAGATACCTTAGATATTTTTTTACGTAATTGCCGTACAAATTTAAACATTTGTCATAGCATATCACCAGCTTTTCTATGCCTTCTGCACACTCAGTTACCACCAAGTTCTTGAACCAGTCATTAATGGCCTCTCTCAGTTCATTGTCACTTCCATAGTGATTCCTAGTCAAAAATCCTTCAATTTTGGAAAAAGATGGTAATCACTCAAAACCAAGTCCAGGCTATAAGGAGGATGTTCAAAAACTTCCCACTTAAACTGCTGAAGCAAGTTCTTCGTCAAAGCAGCAGCATGCAGACGTGTGTTATCCTGAAGAAGCACAGTTCCTCTGGACAACAATCTGCCGTTTGTTTTGAATGGCGCAGCGTAGCTGGTGAAGGGTCTGACAATAGGCTGCTGCATTTATGGTCTCCCCTCTAGGCATGTAGTCAATGAGTAGGATGCTCTTTTGATCCCAAAACACTGTAGCCATAACCTTTTTGGTGCTCAGAATTTGTTTGACTTTTTTTGGTCTTGTTGGGGATATGGAATGATGCCATTCCATTGACTGGTGCTTTGTTTCTGGAGTTTTATGCAAAATCCAGGTCTCATCACGTTTTAGTAGTGTGGTTCAAAAACTCCTCACCATCCTTGTTGTACTGACTGAGAAAAGTCAGTGCAGCTCCCATCCAGTTTTGTTTGTGTTCTTCTGTCAAGAGTCAAGGAACCCACCTGGCATGCACTTTTCTATAGCCCAAATCACCACTAACAATGCCATAAAGAACTGTTCTTGAAATTTCAAGAAAGAAAGAACTGAGTCTATCTATAGCAGGGGTCGCCAAACTTTTTTAACTGTCGACCCCCAACCACTTTCCAAAACCTCACATTGACCCCCACCGTAAAGTTTTATTATAAGTGTAAGTGTATGAGCAAAATAAAAAAACGTTGTGATCTCTGATATCTGTATAAGCAAAAAAAAAAAAAAATGGTTGTAACCCATTGCCACATCGACCCCCCCCCTATGATGTTGCATCGACCCCTGCGGGTCGATATAGACCACTTTGGCAACCCCTGATCTATAGTATCTATAGTGAAACATCTATGCTGTTGAATTTTTTCCTCAATCCTTCATTTGAGTTTGTCAGTCACAACTGAAGGTCAGCCCAACTGTTCTTCATCATACTTATATAACAAATGAACTGGATAAATATACTAATAATAAACACTCCTTTAATAATCTAGCTAATAAAAATTAATAATGTAAAAACATTTTCAATCATTTCTTAACGATCTTCTTCGGTTACCATAACATAGAATAAAATCGAACACAAAAAAGAACGTAAATACGAAATTAAAATATAAATAACAGAATAGTAGCTGTGTTGATAAAATAAATAAAAAATATAAATTAATCCGAAAAAATGTCCCTTAACAAAAATAAAAATAAATAAAGTCATTAATTCTTGTAAAAGGATCGCCATGCAGTAGGTAAAGAGTCTGCATCTCTATGGTTGATGCAACCAGTTTTCTTGTAAAGATATCTAATTTCTCCAGATATTTCACTGTATATAAATTTGTCGTATGTTTAATTATTTCCGCCCGGTCCCAATGGACTTGAATGTCATGTTGTGTTGCGTAAGACGATAGCACGGTGTTGTCAAGTTTCTTATTAATCGTATACTTATGCTCTTTGATACGTTGCTGCAAGTTGCGCCTACGTAGACAAGATCCGAATTAAAACACTGATCGTGTAATGGTATAGAATAGATCCCTGATGCCGATTTCCAGTCATAACGCTTCTTATCGTTTCTTAATAGCTTGAAAACTGTAGGATTGCGTCGATATACCACACTGAAATCATTAGCCTTGGCCGTTTCTTTATGTATTTGTCTCAAAAACGGGACATAATTTAAAACATCTTTTGTCTATGGTCTACTGTGGGATGCCGTTGTTTAGAAGGTTGTAATAAGATTCTTTATGATTTCCTTTTGATATCCCTGTTGTTCCGCAATGTTTAGAATGTAGTTTAGCTCCGCCATCGTGTCTTTTATACTAGAACAATGTGTATAAGCCCTTTTTATCCAGGACGTAAAGGCCGCCAATTTGATGTGATGCGGATCGATTGAATTATGCGGAATTAAAGTGGGTTGAAAGCATGGTTTTCTGTATATGCTGGTCCTGATTTCTCCTTGTCCGCAAGCGATGGAAATGTCCAAAAAATTTACAATACTATCACTCTTCTGGTCCACTTGTAGTAACAAACCATAAGGGTTATTATTGATCATATCCAAAAATTGCTGTAGGTTAGGTTTTTGTTGCCACAAGATGAATATATCATCAATGATATATACGTCAAGATGAATATATCATCGACGTTGAAATGTAACTCTCCAACTTTCTTAATCGAAGAACAACTGGTCAAATTCTTCCAGTCTAAAGCTCATCACCATTCACTCTCGATTAACAATTCTCTACAACTAATAGAAGATCTCAAAAACATTTCTCTGATGGACGATGAATATATGACGATCTTGGACTTTAACTCGATGTATCCATCGATAAAATTATCTCCTTGCTTCTGCACATTAAGAGATTTTTTTATTTGCCAATGTTGAAAATGTGACACAACATCACAATCAAATACTAGAACTTGCACACCTAGTGTGTTATACATCGTTTTTTGAGTTTGAGAGCGAGTTATATTTGCAGGGAAGAGGCGTACCGATGGGTAGTCCCACATCGGCGATTCTATGTGAGTTATTCTTACGGCAACTCGAAAACAAAATTTTACCCGAATTTCAACACCTTATCGCTTTGTACGCCAGATATGTTGACGATATATTCATCTTGTGGCAACGAAAACCTAACCTTTTAGAATGATCCTCATAATTACAACTCTTTTTAAATAATTAAGAGAAAATAATTTTTGTGCTTTTTGTATAATTTTAATATTTTAAAAACATTTTTTTTTTGTTCTTTCTTATTTCAGTGAATGTGAAAATATTTAGTTTTCAATTAATTGTACATCTTGGCTATTTGTTACAACTTGGTGATTTCTTCACTAAATCAGCAACAGATGAAAAATTAGAAACTGCCACTAAACCTGAATCATCTAAAGCAGCATCTACTGATAAATTAGCCACTAAAACTAATATTGATAAAACTTCTGGACCTTCTAAACAGAGTAAGCAATATTTTAAAATTGTTTTAAATGGTTAAAGAATTATTTTATTTTTATATATATTTTTTTTTTGAATATATCTTTCATATGATTCAAGATCTTATCTCAAAAATAAAGACAAATTCCTCACCCCAGAGTTATTAATATCTGAGTTATAAATTTAACAAGAGATGTCAATCTGTCTTATGCCAAATTGTTTAGTAATTTTTTTTATTTATCCTTAATAGCCTGATAAAGGAATCTGGCTGTTCATTTGATATTTGAGTTTTTTGGTAAGAGAAACTTAATTAAAACTGCTTTTTCTAGTACTGAACTTTTTTCCCAAAGAAAGAATTGGCATTTCACAAATTTCAAAAATACTAAACTTAACTTGCATCTTATTTCTTAAATTGTGACTGGGCTGTAAACATGTGTATTTGCAAGGATCAACCATTAAGTGAAAAGTCCATTATACGAAATGCATTTTCCCATAGAAAGACATGTTAAAACATATAATTCGTTCCGCAGCATAAAATAACTGTACCATAAAAAACTGAAAATGGAGCAGTCACCAATTATGCCGGGTAGTCAGATGATGTGAGGAGGTGGAGGAACACTTTTTTCACACATTCATACAGATACAGACTTTTTACACATTGCGGCAGGTCTCTTTTTATTGTTTTTTAATCGGAGTCAGATTTAGGAGAGGCTACCGGAGCTTGCTCCGGTAGCCTCTCCTAAATCTTCCTCTTGTTCCATTCTTTGATTTTTGGCAGCTGGCTTCTTGAAAAACATGTCCAAGTGGTCTGTTTCTCTCTCTTCTTCAACACCTGTCGGAAATGACGGGCAGGGGTGTCATTGTAGAGATCATTGATCCTGTTGGCCTCAGCTCTGTTTGGGTAATGTGTGTTGGTAAACTGCTGAATATCTCCCTATTTGACAAGGAAGTTTTTGTCAACTTTCACTCCTTCTGATGATGTATTGCTTTGTTTCAATTGAAATAATCTTTCTGGTTTTTTAGAAGTCATGATTTGCACAATACCTGAATAAATGTAAATACCCTGCACTGAGGTGATGTACATAATAAACAAGGGAGCAAGCTGAATTCCAATGGGTGCTATGTACTTCAGATATACTAATAATATATTCTAATAATACTAATATATTACAAAAATGGCAGATTGTCATTGGCAACGGCAAAAGAGTGGAAACATCATTCGCACTTGTTCGCAGCCAGTCTGTTGTTTGAGTCACATAACAGCCAAACAGAAAGTCCATTGTTCGCAGCATCCGTTAGTCAAGGCGTACGTTATACGAGGCACCACTGTATTACTAATATTGTGTATTGCTTCAAAATATATTTCAGCATGATAAAAGAAGGAATGTTTGCATATTTTCTCTCTCCTCAAATTACATTCTATTCAGATGTATCAACTTCCTGTTTTGTTGCATTTTTAAAAATTTTGTCTTGTTTAGCTATAAAAAACTATTTCTTTGTGTGTGTTCTCTTTCTTTTTATGAGAAGACTCTTGTCTATTGAATCACTGTGACATGTTGTTACATACATTCTCCTGAAGATATCCTCAAAGTTTTACAAAATATTTCTGAAGATAAGTTAACAAGTAATTATCAGAATATTTCAGAAGCTGCCAGCAATGATAGTAAAAAATAGGTCCAGTATAGTTCTGGAACAACTGAGAGTTCTGATACCAAAGATGCAATTGGCAATCTGGATTATAGAAACATATAATCTGCATCCATTGCTAGAGGAAAAAATGGAAATTGGCACTGCCATTGCATAGACCTAACTATGGAAATAAAGGAGCATCAGTGAAAATATCATCTAATAACAATGTAGCTTGCTAATGGAACAATGTAGGAAATTTTTGATATGTCATTTCTTATTGCTGGAAGACATTGCGTTATGTAATATTTTTCATGAGAAAGAAGATTGACCCCATATACACAGCAACATATAAATGAAGGAAGTGTGCTGAATTTGTGGCAGTTATTCATTGACTATTGGATCTAGCTGCAAAAAATTCATGGATTATATTAAAAAAAAGTTACATATGAGAATATAATTTGGAATATATACAAACATCATTAAGCCTGACATATTAGTAATAAACCGTAATTAATAAATTAATTAATAAATTAGTAATAATGATTAATGATTGCCGTAATTAATTGGTCTATTTGTCACTACTATTAATAATTAATAATAATAGTGAAAATGTAGCCTGATTAATTATGGTGATCATTTGGTTTATTATAATTTGGAAGAATTCCATCTTAAATTTGGTTGAACAACTTACTCAAAACTCCGCAGAAACTACACAGAAGGTAAATAAATGACAGGGAAGGAATTAAAGAACCATCTTTTAAATGTGTGACATCAATGTAAAAATAAGTCATTTGAGCTATATGAAAAATGCAAAAAAAAAGTATGGAAAGTGCAATGTTTTGTTACTAGAATTTGTATGAAATGTTCTAAGTAGTTTTATTTAGTTTTTAAATAAAAATATTCTTTTTTCTGCATTGATCAGTTTATTTTTCAACAAATTATTGTAACAAATCAAAATATTAGCATACTCATGATTTAATGTCTTTGTAGGGCTAGTTTGTAGATAATTGCCACATTCCTTATTGAGGAGACAATGATTTACCTTATGATACAATACCAGGCTACAGACAAAAAGTTCAATAACTTAATCTTTAATTTTTTAGGTTACATGAGCTATGGTGCAATAGTGCCAGTTGAACACAGAATCAAAACACATCTATACAGAACGAGATTCGAATTAAAAGTGAGGTCTTTGGGTCAGGTTGTCAGATACATTAAGTTCAGAGTTTTTCCTGGTGGAAACTTTTGGATTTATGACCAAAGTGTTGCCACAATCTTCTTCCATAGCTATACGTATGTTGAAATTTTTGCAGTTTTAGTGTGCTATATATGTTGATGTAGTCTGCCAACAAAGGCAGGGTCAAAAGAAAAAACCACTAACAGAAATGTTTGATATACAACACAAAATGAAACAAATTTATTTGTAAGGGATAATGCTTACAGGATCTTTTATAAGACAAGGACTCCAGCTATGATCTGTTTCCAGTGATTGGATACATGTTACAATGTCTTGAGGTTACAAATAAGATCTGTTCATGTGTCACAAGAATATAAACCCTAATACTATCTTACAACTACCTTAAAATCTATCAAGGAAGGATCTTAGAAAAAGGAGAGATATGGTAAGTCTGAAAATACCCAGGATTTTCTTTGTTTGGGTGATACTGTCCCTTGCCGAAAAAAGGGATCCACAAGGAAGTATTTATGTAAAATTCCTTCTTTCTTTCCTCCTATTTCTCTTTCTTTTAGTGACACGATACATTTTTGTTGTCTTTCTTTTCTTTACTTTCAACTTATCGCAAGGGTCCTTTACTTGATATGGAATACTACTGTTGGGTTTTCAGTTGAAGCCTTCAATACTCACCAAAGCACAGCCCTTTTCTTCAAGTCCCACTCCTGATTCTTTGTCTCTCTTCCTGGATCATACAAAAAGTTTATCCTTCTCCTTCGATTATTTGGCTCAAAAATGGGGACTTCTATTTCCCACTACTAACACACCATGTAATTTCCATTATACTGTTCTAGATGCATTTCATAACAGACCCTCCCTTTGTTAACCAAGGGAAAATTAAAAAAGAGACAAAGTTCTAGAAAGAGAGAGAATAAAGGAAAGACATTAGACTTAAAATTAATACAAACATTATGGTGGACAGCCACACTAGTGTTAAAATCACTATCAATATTAAATATATATACTTATGGAATGCAGTTCCAATAATTATACCAATGTAGTTAAGAAAATGAGCTTTTAAACTGAAATGTTTCAAGATAACTGTTGAGATTTAGTAAAATAATCCCAGAACTTGGGATAACTAAAATAAAAGATAAATAGATGTAAATTATATTACAAATCTGTGATTATTAGCAAAGATGAGGCTAACACAGTTTTAACTTTAAAATTTATGATGTAACTTCTTTTATCAATTATTTTTGTTCAAGGTGTGGAAATTTTTGCAATTTCAAAAATGAAAGAGTTCTTTTAGGAAACTGACATTTGTAGTGCTATGTTACATCATTGACATGCATATGACACCAAGAACATGCTATGTCTTGTTATTTATTCAAACATATTAAAACTAACAGAAAGCAATACTCTATCATTATGAATTACTTTTGTTTACAGGTTGAAATAACATTTTTATTTTTTACTAGCTGCAAGGACTTGCTTCGCTGGGTTTTTATTTGTATGTAATATAGTTTTTTTTATATGTATATAAAAGACTGTTTTTCTAAGTAATCTAGAATCTAGCTGCAAAGACCTGCTTCACTGGGCAAAAAGTAACGATAGTGAAGATTAAGATAATTACATTATAGCCAATCTTACCTGTTTTCACAGAATGCAAGAATTAGGTCCCACGTTTCCAGACTAATTAGAGAATTTTTACATGAGTCTAAAAATATGTTTGATTTCCTGCAAAAACACAAAAAACCGCCTGTAAATGCATGCCGCTTTATATTAACACTTCCTTTGTTACTCAACACTTCCATCGTTAACACTTCCACTGTTAACACTTCCATTGTTACACATCTTCGAACCCCATATTCACTTTCAACCCCATATCTCCCACACCCTTATAGCACAGAATGCAAGAATTAGGTTCCCCGTTTCCAGACTAATTAGAGAATTTTTACGTCCAGTCAAACAAACTATTTTTAATTTGATCAATTTTCTGGAACGTTTACAATCGTTCTATAATCGAACCAATTTAAATTTAAAACGGTTTGAACATTTTTAAAATCGAAATAGAAAATCTTTGAAGTCAACCACTTTAAGCCTCCATATCTCCCGCACCCTTATAGCTATCAAGACGCAACCACCATAGTGCACGAATGCAGACTTGGGGTACTACCACATACAAACACCATTCATGTGCGATGTGTAGTTTTGGCTGAAAAGTGAAATATAGGGACACATACGTCCATTTATATATTTTTTTTTTTATTAGAAAAGTGCACCACTCCTATCGGAGTATAACACTAAGATACATAAAACAAGATAAAAGATACAAAGTGAACATAAAATTAGAAAGTTCTGCTTTTAGTGAAGACTAAAAGTAAAATTAGAAATTAGAGATTATGAAAAGTCTTTTCTTCCATATATTTTGTATATAACTGTAAATGGTATCAAACAGAGCTTCTGTACAAGTTTATCCAGTGGACATGGCCACCTGAAACCATGCATAAAGATTTCTAATTTCATTATAAGTCTATCTTGATCATAAATAGGACAATGGTAGATCATATGGTCAACAGTATCAAGGTTTCCTGTGGAACAAAAGCAAAAGGCAGTTTCTGCCCGGTTATACATCGCCAGGTAGCTCCTAAAATTACCATGCTCAGTAAGAAGTTGAGCAGTAGTAAACGTCAGAAATCTAAGTGGTGAAGAGAGTCTGCTATCAACACTAGGAAAATACAGTCTGGTTATTTTACCCGTCTTACTGCTCAACCATTGCTGGTTCCACTTCTGCATAGCATTGGCACGGATATAATTTTTAAGGCTGCTGCGTGAGAAAGGAATGAGAGTATAGTCCAAGTCAGTGTCCTTTGCAGCTGACTTAGCCTCAAGGTCGGCTTTTTCATTTCCCAAAATGCCAGTATGACCAGGAACAAAAATAAAAGTTATCCTATTCACATGATTTACAATATGGTGCTGGATATATGTGAGTTTGTTGCTATTGCAATTGGGATTTAAGAGGGCCTTTAGGACAGACTGAGAGTCACTGAAGATGTTGAAAGAAAGAGTATTGTTAGGAAGTGAAGTGGCCCACTGAACAACCCAGTAGACAGCATCTTCCTCAGCTTTATAGATGGTGGTGTATGGGGGGTACCTGTACCTTTTAACATATTTTGGGCAAAGTAAATCAGTTTCAAGATAAATGCAGACACTTGAGCCAACATGAAGGGTCCATTTATATATATATATATAGTATTTGATATTTCTATAAAATAGTAAAAAATTTATATTTGAATTTTTTTTAATAATAAGTTATTGATATATTTAATAATTTCTTAAATAAAATATTAGATTCATTGTTCGTAAATAGTAACAATGTTTATTTATTATTTGTCTTTATACTTTAAGGTGAGGATACTCCAACCAATCGCACAACTATATTTTTCACATTGGAAGAACCTGATTTAATATTAATTGAAGATATTGAAAATATTAACTCCAATATTATTGTTCTTAAGGTAAATTTTTACATTTAACTGTTTGTTTAAATTGAATGCTGTTCTGATGATGATGATGATGATCTACTTTTTAAGTTCTATATGAACATTTATTTAAACAAAAACGTCATAACCTTAAAAAATTTTTTAATGTGTTTAGTACTTTGTAATATTGCTATAATAATTTAAATTGTATTAAATATAGATCAAATTTTGATATAAACAATTATCAGTAGATATAATTTAAATGCCTTTTCTTCTTCTTCTTCTTCTTTTTTGTAGAAGTTGATGCTTTTAGTTTGAAGATATTAATTTTTTTTTATTGATGATAACACATCCTTAACAAGAAATTAAATAGTTCATAATACTTGTTGTACTGTAAGAAAAATTTATTGTTCTCATTATATAATTTATCTTTAGTTGATAAAATTCAGAATTTAGTTAAATTATCTTTCCAAATTGTTTGACAGAAAATTAATATTATCAGTTTATATTTATACTTTGTGAAAAAAGAAAAGTATAGATTGATATAATGAGATAAAATATCATCATTCATGCTATTAATAGATAGCATTATATAATAATATTTGCATTCTGTGATTTGATATAAAATAAGTATTGTACATGGAGATCAATTTCATAAATAGAATAAAAAACATAAATGAAAATAAAACAAACACGTTTACTTTTTTCCCCTTTAAAATATTACAAAATAGATTTAAAATATTGAAAACAAATATAAAATAAAATAGTTTGATGCTTTTATTACATGTAGGCATATAAGAGCACATAAGAAAAGATCAACACCATTAATGTTTTGTGTTCCTAGGCTTCAAAAGGATTTTCAAGAAGGCATAATATTTTAGTTTATATTTGTCTTCAATTGCAATTTGTAAAATATATTTTGTAATATTTTAACATGTTTCACCCTGGATTTTCTATTTTTTTTCTTTTAACTACCTTCAGACAAATAATTCAAACAATAGAAAATTAACAGAAATGGAACAAAATATTTGAATTTTTAAAATATTATTGAATTTTGTGAATACTTAAATATGATTCTGTTATATTACTGTTTTTAATTTTACTTTAGAAATGTTCTGTAGATATTTTCAGCACTTCTGCAAGTAGATATACATGGTGTGGCATAAAGAGTGGATAATCTGTTACCTGCAGATAGGGGATATCATGACTGTTCAGAAAATTAAACATTTTGTTTAGTAAAAGTGTCATAGTTTTCGAGTTATTGGACATTTTCTAGTTTATGGAAAATGGACTCTCTTGTTTACATTTCTCAATGTGATGGTCACAAATCAAGGACTTTTTCCCAGTCTGTTTTTGAATACTAGACTTGGATATATGTTTTATCAAATGTAAACTGCCATTTTAGTATTATAGACTTGGTTTTTTAGAACAAAAAATAATTCAAAATTTTTGGTTTTGTTTTTGTTTTTTTTTTTCAGTGTAAAGAAAAGTACTGTAACCTGCGTGAAAAACTAACTAATAATTTGCCTATTGTACTGAGATTGAAAATAGCATTTGTAGCTTTCAATTCAATGAATATTCCTACTGAGAAAGATCAAGGAAAATTTTTAAAATCTCATGAATGAATTGGGCTCCTAAATAATCTAATTGGAAATCTAATGAATCTAATTAAAATGACAGAATAAAACAAAATAATCAATTGGGTTACTATATTTATTATTATAAATTTGCAATAAATGTTCAAAGTGACCACCATGGGCTCTGACACATGTCCTACATCTTCTAATAAATGATTGCTTAATTTTTCCCACAATACCTGCTTCATTGATTTCCCAATTTGTGACCATGACATTGAAAAATGTAAACGAGGGAGTCCATTTTCCAAAAAACTAGAAAATGTCCAATAACTCAAACTATGACACTTCTACTAAACACAATGTTTAATTTTCTGAACAGTCATGATGTCCCCTATCCGCAGGCAGTGGTGATATTCAGCGGGTTCGCACAGGTTCGGCCGAACCCGTTGTTAACATTTTCAAAGTTTTCCGAACCCGTTGTTAAACACACGTAACATTTCTCAGTGGTTTTGTTTCTTTTAAAAAATATATTAAAATATACGTATTATACTCTGTAACACTACTAAACTAGAGCCTTATACCCTGTTCGCCTGGTGCATCCTCCATCGACCGTTTCAATCTCGACTGAAACAAGGTTCAATGCAATCGACTCGAGAGAGTTCTCGAAACTAGATCCAGTCATAAGAGAGATCCCACAATCCCACGCGCGCGAGAAAATACAAGATGGCTGCGGAACACGTGTCGAACTATCGACAGCGAAATAAGAAAGATATTGTATTTCGAGAGACGATGACATCTGTCTATTATTATAATAATACCTAACGATAAAATAAATGATTTAGAAAAAGTTTTTCTTGTTTAACTGCTTTCCCTATGACTTTTTCTGATTAAAAAAAAGCCAATTTTTATGTTTATAAAATATTTTGAATGAAAAATATTAAAATATGTACAAAATAAACCATTTTGAACACTCTTTTTTATTATTTATAAAAAAATATAGTTCTGGCATAAACAATGTTAAATTTTAACTGACTTAATTTTGCGAACGCATTTTTTTTATTTATATGGGTATCTTAAGGTCAGTTTTTTGCGCTAATGTTGCTAATGCACCATTTGAGCGAAAAAAAATTGTTAAGGAAAAATTTTCTGTTAGCGAACCCTTTGTTAAATATTTCGAATATCACCGCTGTCCGCAGGTAACAGATTATTCACTCTTTACGCCACACCCTGTATATCAACAAATTTTAAAATAATGATCTGTTAAGAAATATCAGATCACAGATTAGTTAGTTACAAATTAAGTTGTACATTATAAACAAAAATGGTTCAGTTATACATGCAAATTTTTTAATGAGTTTAGAACCTTTGAAACATTTCTATAATAATTTAAATTGTACTAAATATATATAAAATTTTAATATAAACAATGATCAGTAGATATAAGCATGGAACTTCTTATTTAAATTTGCTTAGACATTAGGACAATTGTATTTATTATGTGCTATTAATTAAATATATCTTATGTAAAGTAGTATACATTTATAATATTGTAAAATTTAACTAAGTCAAACTGCATTAACTTGAAGCTATCTATTATTGCATCCAAGATACATTGTATGGTTGGTTTTTTCTATATATGATTTCATTAAATCAAAATTATCAGTATTTTTAAATCAAACATATTTTCAATGTACAGTACATTCTACTTTTTGATAAGTCTATGATCTTCATTTTCTCATGCATTTCATGTGAATACACATGATTAAGACAGACACTATGGCTCCATGCCAAACAACACTACTTTATTACAACCTTGTGTTAGCATTTTTTTACTGACATAGTATGTTATTGGTTTTCTAATTGGGACACACAAGAATGCCTTGACAATGATCTTGGAAATGCCTTAAACTATATACAATTTTATAATCATATTATGAACAGATTCTTGAAAAATAGCTTTCAACACCATTAATGAAAATTTAAGGCCATAGAAAATTTGAGAAAATCAGGTATTAAACATATTAACTTAACTCAAAGCCAGGATTTTTTACTCCTTAAACTTTAACCTACTAAGATATTACTATAGTCTGAATTATACAGTTTTTACTTTTCAATATTCTGTGTTATTCTGCTTTAAGTATCTTTTGTCTTTTATTATGCTTAACGTTTTTCAAAATGTCTTTTTATATTTTCTTTAATGAAAACCAAATTCAGTTTAGAGCTGTGGGTTTGTGCAAGCGTCAAGAAGTTATGCTCTGTTTCTCTACATCTTACTGCATGCAGAGACTTGCGTAGGAAATTTATGATTTCATGAAAACACGATGTCTAAGGTCTAGAGGAAGTTTTGATGTGTGTTTAAAAACTGAGTCTATCTAATGATCTGTTTTTAAATAATATAATTCCTGATTATCTAATTTTTCTCTGTCTATTTAAGCTGTATAATTGGGACTTATTATTAACCAAATATTTTATAATCATTTTGAAAAACATTTAATGGAATATCTAGAATTGATTATTATTAAAGGAAACTTTTATGTACTTCATTTTAAAAAAAGGAATTTTTAATGGAATTGTATTTTTTAAGAATGAAATGTTTTAGATAGCCTGGTTTTTTATCTTATTCAAAGTTTATGCTTTGTTAAATTTCAATTAATATATTATTTTTTATTTCCAACATAAGTGAAGACATTAGAAAGACATTTCTGTCATTGTTATTTCATAGCCATTGCTTTTACAGAAGAGGATTAATGAGAAAATTTTAATATATTGTACACAATGAAATTACTAGGATAGAAAAATAAGCAATGTGGTTTGTAAAAATAGAAAATTATATTGAGAAAGTTAGAGATCAAAGAATTCAGAGTTGCATTCTTCGGAAAAACATTTTTGTTATAGAAATTATTGTAACTTTTTAAAACTTCTCATTAATATTATATTTATTCTTTTATAGTCTTCTTAATAAAATCGAAGTAAAGTAGAAAGATAAAAATAACATAAACAAATCTTTTCTATGATTTTTTAATGTAATTTCTGAAAATCTGATGATGATTTGATAGATAATGTATTATTGATTACTTTTATTAAAAAACTAGCATTTTTTTTTTTTAAATCTGCTTTGTATATGTAAAAATAATTTATCATATTGTTTAGTTTTATTACAGCTTCTATTCAAATAAATACAGGCTCCGATGATTTTTTTTTATTAGTGATTAAATTGTACATGATCATTTTTTTCATCTTATTTATTGTTAATTTGATATGTTATCTTCTAAGGTTGTCTTTTAATTAAAATATAAATGTAAAATTATAAACAATGGTTGATACTTTAGATAAGTAAATTTTATTATCATTGGATAATTGACTGAAACAAAATTCTAAAATATTAACATGAAAAGATAGTGGTATTAATATTTTAGAATTTTTTTTCTTTTTTTGTTTGGAAAAATCTATTAGATATTTTGTATTTGCATACTATATTGAATTTTTTTTTCCAGAATGCTGTAGAAATGAAATTGATAATGGATCCAGGAGCACTTAATATTTCTGGAGCAATTAAAGATTTGCAAATATTTACTGCTTGTTATAATCCTTCTCAGAGAAATAATACAACTGTTCAAGTAAACTGCTCTCATTTTTATTAAAAATTTTATATTACAATAGATATAAGTTATTGACACTCTTTTTATAAATATATATTATTTGTTTTTAAAAATTTCTCAAAAATTCTTAACTTTTCATTTGTGTGTCAATATTGATCATATGTACAGTAAGACTTCAACTTATACAGTTAATTTATTCTGAAGATTTCCATACAACTTAAAAAAAAGTGAAAAAATGCTGAAATATTTTGTAATTTTAATATGCATATTCAGTNTCAACCCCATATCTCCCACACCCTTATAGCACAGAATGCAAGAATTAGGTTCCCCGTTTCCAGACTAATTAGAGAATTTTTACGTCCAGTCAAACAAACTATTTTTAATTTGATCAATTTTCTGGAACGTTTACAATCGTTCTATAATCGAACCAATTTAAATTTAAAACGGTTTGAACATTTTTAAAATCGAAATAGAAAATCTTTGAAGTCAACCACTTTAAGCCTCCATATCTCCCGCACCCTTATAGCTATCAAGACGCAACCACCATAGTGCACGAATGCAGACTTGGGGTACTACCACATACAAACACCATTCATGTGCGATGTGTAGTTTTGGCTGAAAAGTGAAATATAGGGACACATACGTCCATTTATATATTTTTTTTTTTATTAGAAAAGTGCACCACTCCTATCGGAGTATAACACTAAGATACATAAAACAAGATAAAAGATACAAAGTGAACATAAAATTAGAAAGTTCTGCTTTTAGTGAAGACTAAAAGTAAAATTAGAAATTAGAGATTATGAAAAGTCTTTTCTTCCATATATTTTGTATATAACTGTAAATGGTATCAAACAGAGCTTCTGTACAAGTTTATCCAGTGGACATGGCCACCTGAAACCATGCATAAAGATTTCTAATTTCATTATAAGTCTATCTTGATCATAAATAGGACAATGGTAGATCATATGGTCAACAGTATCAAGGTTTCCTGTGGAACAAAAGCAAAAGGCAGTTTCTGCCCGGTTATACATCGCCAGGTAGCTCCTAAAATTACCATGCTCAGTAAGAAGTTGAGCAGTAGTAAACGTCAGAAATCTAAGTGGTGAAGAGAGTCTGCTATCAACACTAGGAAAATACAGTCTGGTTATTTTACCCGTCTTACTGCTCAACCATTGCTGGTTCCACTTCTGCATAGCATTTGCACGGATATAATTTTTAAGGCTGCTGCGTGAGAAAGGAATGAGAGTATAGTCCAAGTCAGTGTCCTTTGCAGCTGACTTCGCCTCAAGGTCGGCTTTTTCATTTCCCAAAATGCCAGTATGACCAGGAACAAAAATAAAAGTTATCCTATTCACATGATTTACAATATGGTGCTGGATATATGTGATTTTGTTGCTATTGCAGTTGGGATTTAAGAGGGCCTTTAGGACAGACTGAGAGTCACTGAAGATGTTGAAAGAAAGAGTTTTGTTAGGAAGTGAGGTGGCCCACTGAACAGCCCGGTAGACAGCATCTTCCTCAGCTTGATAGATGGTGGTGTATGGGGGGTACCTGTACCTTTTAACATATTTTGGGCAAAGTAAATCAGTTTGAAGATAAATGCAGACACTTGAGCCAACATGAAGGGAGCCTTTGGACCCATCTGTGTAGATGTTAATGTCAGCATGGACATCCAGGGTGGAAGCAGATGACACCACGTGCACCCTGGGGATAACCCTGCTTACAGGGTGATGATCACAGTTGGTGGAGAAGTTGCAGTGTGGAAGCATGTGAACAGCCGTAGATAAGAGCAGAGACCGTTGTTGAACTTTGATGTTTGTGGTTCTGGTGTAATAGTGAAGAACTTTTTCTTCAATACAGAGTGGTAAAGGAAGGAGCTCTGCTAGAATCAGAGAGGCATTTGTAGAAACAGTCCTGCAGCACTTTGAAATTTTGATGGCAAACTGTCTTTGGAGAGAGAGTAATTTACTTGCAATTGTAACTTTACTCGTTACATGACCCCAGCTAGAAGCCGCATAAAGTATCATTGGTAGTATTGCCCCATTATACAGAGTTTTATAAGCTTTGTGATTTAGTCCCCAGGTGCATCTAGCACATTTTTGCAGCATGTAGTTTATTTTCTTGGCTTTAGCCAAGATATAATCAATGTGGTAACTATATGTAAGTTTAGTATCAAGGATTACTCCCAGGTACTTTTGCCGGTCTACCCATTCGATTGAGTCACCATCTAATAAAAGCTTGGGGTATGAAAATTTGTATTTGTTTGTGAAAAGCATAGCTTTGGTCTTGTAAGTACAGAACTGGAGTTTATTAAGATAGGCCCATTTGGAAGCTTTACTCAACATTTCGTTTAGCTTACTTTCCAAAAAAGCAGTGTCCCTATGCTGACACACAATGACAAGGTCGTCGGCATAGGCTTGCACACTTATTGCTTTGTCACATTTGGTTTTCAGAAAGGAGTTAACCACTAGGTTCCATAAGAAAGGAGATAAAACACCACCTTGAGGGCAAGATTTTGTTAGGAGTTTACTAACAGAGTGATGATGATAAGACAGATTTATTTTCCTGTTAGTTAAAAAGGAGGAGACCAGCTTGACAAGATAGTTGGGACAGTCTAGTTGGGAGAGCTCGTTGATAATGCTTGGGTGCCAGCAGTTGTCGAAGGCACCTTTAATGTCCAAAAAGATAGCTGCGGTATAAACTTTGTTACTCAGTCCCTCTTCTATGAATTGTGTCAAGGCATAGACAGCATCCTCAGCACTTCTGCTTTTTCTGAAGCCATACTGGTTTGGGTCGAGCCAGTGATGCTTATTAGCATGCCACTCAAGACGGCCCANAAAAAAATATAGTTCTGGCATAAACAATGTTAAATTTTAACTGACTTAATTTTGCGAACGCATTTTTTTTATTTATATGGGTATCTTAAGGTCAGTTTTTTGCGCTAATGTTGCTAATGCACCATTTGAGCGAAAAAAAATTGTTAAGGAAAAATTTTCTGTTAGCGAACCCTTTGTTAAATATTTCGAATATCACCGCTGTCCGCAGGTAACAGATTATTCACTCTTTACGCCACACCCTGTATATCAACAAATTTTAAAATAATGATCTGTTAAGAAATATCAGATCACAGATTAGTTAGTTACAAATTAAGTTGTACATTATAAACAAAAATGGTTCAGTTATACATGCAAATTTTTTAATGAGTTTAGAACCTTTGAAACATTTCTATAATAATTTAAATTGTACTAAATATATATAAAATTTTAATATAAACAATGATCAGTAGATATAAGCATGGAACTTCTTATTTAAATTTGCTTAGACATTAGGACAATTGTATTTATTATGTGCTATTAATTAAATATATCTTATGTAAAGTAGTATACATTTATAATATTGTAAAATTTAACTAAGTCAAACTGCATTAACTTGAAGCTATCTATTATTGCATCCAAGATACATTGTATGGTTGGTTTTTTCTATATATGATTTCATTAAATCAAAATTATCAGTATTTTTAAATCAAACATATTTTCAATGTACAGTACATTCTACTTTTTGATAAGTCTATGATCTTCATTTTCTCATGCATTTCATGTGAATACACATGATTAAGACAGACACTATGGCTCCATGCCAAACAACACTACTTTATTACAACCTTGTGTTAGCATTTTTTTACTGACATAGTATGTTATTGGTTTTCTAATTGGGACACACAAGAATGCCTTGACAATGATCTTGGAAATGCCTTAAACTATATACAATTTTATAATCATATTATGAACAGATTCTTGAAAAATAGCTTTCAACACCATTAATGAAAATTTAAGGCCATAGAAAATTTGAGAAAATCAGGTATTAAACATATTAACTTAACTCAAAGCCAGGATTTTTTACTCCTTAAACTTTAACCTACTAAGATATTACTATAGTCTGAATTATACAGTTTTTACTTTTCAATATTCTGTGTTATTCTGCTTTAAGTATCTTTTGTCTTTTATTATGCTTAACGTTTTTCAAAATGTCTTTTTATATTTTCTTTAATGAAAACCAAATTCAGTTTAGAGCTGTGGGTTTGTGCAAGCGTCAAGAAGTTATGCTCTGTTTCTCTACATCTTACTGCATGCAGAGACTTGCGTAGGAAATTTATGATTTCATGAAAACACGATGTCTAAGGTCTAGAGGAAGTTTTGATGTGTGTTTAAAAACTGAGTCTATCTAATGATCTGTTTTTAAATAATATAATTCCTGATTATCTAATTTTTCTCTGTCTATTTAAGCTGTATAATTGGGACTTATTATTAACCAAATATTTTATAATCATTTTGAAAAACATTTAATGGAATATCTAGAATTGATTATTATTAAAGGAAACTTTTATGTACTTCATTTTAAAAAAAGGAATTTTTAATGGAATTGTATTTTTTAAGAATGAAATGTTTTAGATAGCCTGGTTTTTTATCTTATTCAAAGTTTATGCTTTGTTAAATTTCAATTAATATATTATTTTTTATTTCCAACATAAGTGAAGACATTAGAAAGACATTTCTGTCATTGTTATTTCATAGCCATTGCTTTTACAGAAGAGGATTAATGAGAAAATTTTAATATATTGTACACAATGAAATTACTAGGATAGAAAAATAAGCAATGTGGTTTGTAAAAATAGAAAATTATATTGAGAAAGTTAGAGATCAAAGAATTCAGAGTTGCATTCTTCGGAAAAACATTTTTGTTATAGAAATTATTGTAACTTTTTAAAACTTCTCATTAATATTATATTTATTCTTTTATAGTCTTCTTAATAAAATCGAAGTAAAGTAGAAAGATAAAAATAACATAAACAAATCTTTTCTATGATTTTTTAATGTAATTTCTGAAAATCTGATGATGATTTGATAGATAATGTATTATTGATTACTTTTATTAAAAAACTAGCATTTTTTTTTTTTAAATCTGCTTTGTATATGTAAAAATAATTTATCATATTGTTTAGTTTTATTACAGCTTCTATTCAAATAAATACAGGCTCCGATGATTTTTTTTTATTAGTGATTAAATTGTACATGATCATTTTTTTCATCTTATTTATTGTTAATTTGATATGTTATCTTCTAAGGTTGTCTTTTAATTAAAATATAAATGTAAAATTATAAACAATGGTTGATACTTTAGATAAGTAAATTTTATTATCATTGGATAATTGACTGAAACAAAATTCTAAAATATTAACATGAAAAGATAGTGGTATTAATATTTTAGAATTTTTTTTCTTTTTTTGTTTGGAAAAATCTATTAGATATTTTGTATTTGCATACTATATTGAATTTTTTTTTCCAGAATGCTGTAGAAATGAAATTGATAATGGATCCAGGAGCACTTAATATTTCTGGAGCAATTAAAGATTTGCAAATATTTACTGCTTGTTATAATCCTTCTCAGAGAAATAATACAACTGTTCAAGTAAACTGCTCTCATTTTTATTAAAAATTTTATATTACAATAGATATAAGTTATTGACACTCTTTTTATAAATATATATTATTTGTTTTTAAAAATTTCTCAAAAATTCTTAACTTTTCATTTGTGTGTCAATATTGATCATATGTACAGTAAGACTTCAACTTATACAGTTAATTTATTCTGAAGATTTCCATACAACTTAAAAAAAAGTGAAAAAATGCTGAAATATTTTGTAATTTTAATATGCATATTCAGTTCAAAGGTCAATTAAAGCTAAAGATTTATTTATGAATAGAAAAATTTGAGAAAATAGTAAAAACTTTAAGAATATAAACTATGATATCTATTATGCATGTTCAAAGAAAATAAATGGCATCGTTAGTCATAAGTTGATGTATTGCAACCACATATTCGTATCAGTTGAGGACTTAATGCATTTATTTATTTATCTATTTGGTTGAATTGCAAGTTGAAGTAATTATAATACATCAAAGAATAGCTTTAATTATTATTTTAATCTTTAAATAAATAAGAATCGCTAGATTAAAATTAAATTAAATAAATTTATATTTGATTTATTTAATCAAATATAAATAATTTCAATTTTAAATTGTTTGTAAAGTTTTGTATTAGGAATTTTTGTATATAACACAAAATCACATTATAAAAGTTTCATTTTGTTTTTATAAATATCTATATTCCGTATATTGTAGATTTAATTTTCTCATATGAAAACATTAGAACTGCTATTGAAGTTAATATTTTCACATATATATTTTAAACTTAGTACAATAAGTAAAACTATATATACATATATATATATGTATAGTTTTACTTATTTATTGTTAATTTCCTTCTTAGTCAAATATTATAGAGTTCAATTAAGCTGTTTAGGTGAATTAATTCTTTAGTATCTTTATTCTTAAATGAATCTTATTTTGTGATATGGAATAAATATGAGTTTAATCAGATTCTGACGATTTGGTTGTTCTGTTAGAGAATCAGTACTTAATTAAATTACAAGACAAGAATTAGTAATTTTTAATGTATACTACTATTTGATAACATTAAGTTCTTTATTATAATTTCATTTAATATGTGGAATTTGGTAATTACTTTAATGATACTTTGTTTTGTAGAATGCTTGTTTATTTAAAATTGATATATTTTGTACAGAAAGCATTTTTATCTGTTTATAAAAGTTTAATTGTGTTTTTCCTTTTTCCTGCATTTATACAGAGGAAAAACTTCATTCTTACATAGTATATTTACTTTCAAGTATGTTAGTACATCTTTGTCTGTCTGTGTGTATGCTTGTCATACATACTTATGTGTGTTCATACATACATGCATACATTTATTTACCAAAACCAACCATTGCTGTATGTTATCAGGCTAATATTATATTAATAAATTACCAAATAATTTGACACTAAAGGGAGGCGTTAGGCATCATCTCTTAATAAATTTAATAATTATATGTTGAATTTACTAATTGTAGCTGTATATTCGTTCAGTGAATGGTTGTCTCTTTAATCTGAAAATATTTCTCTCGGTAGACTATCTTACAGTAAGTCAGGTCAAGAAACTCTTTTATTGTATTTTCAATTCATATGCATTTCAAACTGGTTTCATTTTCCAGTTCCTCTTCAGTGCTCTAGAATTACAATTACAGATATTGAGTGGAACTTCTTATTTAAATTTGCTTAGACATTAGGACAATTGTATTTATTATGTGCTATTAATTAAATATATCTTATGTAAAGTAGTATACATTTATAANTTAACTTTTCATTTGTGTGTCAATATTGATCATATGTACAGTAAGACTTCAACTTATACAGTTAATTTATTCTGAAGATTTCCATACAACTTAAAAAAAAGTGAAAAAATGCTGAAATATTTTGTAATTTTAATATGCATATTCAGTTCAAAGGTCAATTAAAGCTAAAGATTTATTTATGAATAGAAAAATTTGAGAAAATAGTAAAAACTTTAAGAATATAAACTATGATATCTATTATGCATGTTCAAAGAAAATAAATGGCATCGTTAGTCATAAGTTGATGTATTGCAACCACATATTCGTATCAGTTGAGGACTTAATGCATTTATTTATTTATCTATTTGGTTGAATTGCAAGTTGAAGTAATTATAATAACTAAGTCAAACTGCATTAACTTGAAGCTATCTATTATTGCATCCAAGATACATTGTATGGTTGGTTTTTTCTATATATGATTTCATTAAATCAAAATTATCAGTATTTTTAAATCAAACATATTTTCAATGTACAGTACATTCTACTTTTTGATAAGTCTATGATCTTCATTTTCTCATGCATTTCATGTGAATACACATGATTAAGACAGACACTATGGCTCCATGCCAAACAACACTACTTTATTACAACCTTGTGTTAGCATTTTTTTACTGACATAGTATGTTATTGGTTTTCTAATTGGGACACACAAGAATGCCTTGACAATGATCTTGGAAATGCCTTAAACTATATACAATTTTATAATCATATTATGAACAGATTCTTGAAAAATAGCTTTCAACACCATTAATGAAAATTTAAGGCCATAGAAAATTTGAGAAAATCAGGTATTAAACATATTAACTTAACTCAAAGCCAGGATTTTTTACTCCTTAAACTTTAACCTACTAAGATATTACTATAGTCTGAATTATACAGTTTTTACTTTTCAATATTCTGTGTTATTCTGCTTTAAGTATCTTTTGTCTTTTATTATGCTTAACGTTTTTCAAAATGTCTTTTTATATTTTCTTTAATGAAAACCAAATTCAGTTTAGAGCTGTGGGTTTGTGCAAGCGTCAAGAAGTTATGCTCTGTTTCTCTACATCTTACTGCATGCAGAGACTTGCGTAGGAAATTTATGATTTCATGAAAACACGATGTCTAAGGTCTAGAGGAAGTTTTGATGTGTGTTTAAAAACTGAGTCTATCTAATGATCTGTTTTTAAATAATATAATTCCTGATTATCTAATTTTTCTCTGTCTATTTAAGCTGTATAATTGGGACTTATTATTAACCAAATATTTTATNGTAACAATGTTTATTTATTATTTGTCTTTATACTTTAAGGTGAGGATACTCCAACCAATCGCACAACTATATTTTTCACATTGGAAGAACCTGATTTAATATTAATTGAAGATATTGAAAATATTAACTCCAATATTATTGTTCTTAAGGTAAATTTTTACATTTAACTGTTTGTTTAAATTGAATGCTGTTCTGATGATGATGATGATGATCTACTTTTTAAGTTCTATATGAACATTTATTTAAACAAAAACGTCATAACCTTAAAAAATTTTTTAATGTGTTTAGTACTTTGTAATATTGCTATAATAATTTAAATTGTATTAAATATAGATCAAATTTTGATATAAACAATTATCAGTAGATATAATTTAAATGCCTTTTCTTCTTCTTCTTCTTCTTTTTTGTAGAAGTTGATGCTTTTAGTTTGAAGATATTAATTTTTTTTTATTGATGATAACACATCCTTAACAAGAAATTAAATAGTTCATAATACTTGTTGTACTGTAAGAAAAATTTATTGTTCTCATTATATAATTTATCTTTAGTTGATAAAATTCAGAATTTAGTTAAATTATCTTTCCAAATTGTTTGACAGAAAATTAATATTATCAGTTTATATTTATACTTTGTGAAAAAAGAAAAGTATAGATTGATATAATGAGATAAAATATCATCATTCATGCTATTAATAGATAGCATTATATAATAATATTTGCATTCTGTGATTTGATATAAAATAAGTATTGTACATGGAGATCAATTTCATAAATAGAATAAAAAACATAAATGAAAATAAAACAAACACGTTTACTTTTTTCCCCTTTAAAATATTACAAAATAGATTTAAAATATTGAAAACAAATATAAAATAAAATAGTTTGATGCTTTTATTACATGTAGGCATATAAGAGCACATAAGAAAAGATCAACACCATTAATGTTTTGTGTTCCTAGGCTTCAAAAGGATTTTCAAGAAGGCATAATATTTTAGTTTATATTTGTCTTCAATTGCAATTTGTAAAATATATTTTGTAATATTTTAACATGTTTCACCCTGGATTTTCTATTTTTTTTCTTTTAACTACCTTCAGACAAATAATTCAAACAATAGAAAATTAACAGAAATGGAACAAAATATTTGAATTTTTAAAATATTATTGAATTTTGTGAATACTTAAATATGATTCTGTTATATTACTGTTTTTAATTTTACTTTAGAAATGTTCTGTAGATATTTTCAGCACTTCTGCAAGTAGATATACATGGTGTGGCATAAAGAGTGGATAATCTGTTACCTGCAGATAGGGGATATCATGACTGTTCAGAAAATTAAACATTTTGTTTAGTAAAAGTGTCATAGTTTTCGAGTTATTGGACATTTTCTAGTTTATGGAAAATGGACTCTCTTGTTTACATTTCTCAATGTGATGGTCACAAATCAAGGACTTTTTCCCAGTCTGTTTTTGAATACTAGACTTGGATATATGTTTTATCAAATGTAAACTGCCATTTTAGTATTATAGACTTGGTTTTTTAGAACAAAAAATAATTCAAAATTTTTGGTTTTGTTTTTGTTTTTTTTTTTCAGTGTAAAGAAAAGTACTGTAACCTGCGTGAAAAACTAACTAATAATTTGCCTATTGTACTGAGATTGAAAATAGCATTTGTAGCTTTCAATTCAATGAATATTCCTACTGAGAAAGATCAAGGAAAATTTTTAAAATCTCATGAATGAATTGGGCTCCTAAATAATCTAATTGGAAATCCAATGAATCTAATTAAAATGACAGAATAAAACAAAATAATCAATTGGGTTACTATATTTATTATTATAAATTTGCAATAAATGTTCAAAGTGACCACCATGGGCTCTGACACATGTCCTACATCTTCTAATAAATGATTGCTTAATTTTTCCCACAA